TTCCTGTAAACACCAGTATGACATTAAACATGGCAATACTCTGTCCTTCCTGTAAACACCAGTATGACATTAAACATGCCAATACTATGTCCATCCTGTAGCTGAACAGTTCTGGAATTGTGATGGTAATTATGACTGGAAAAATATGACTTGAAAAATGCACAAACAAATGTAGAAAGAAACTTAAGAGATAGAGTATTTGTATAATTAAAAATAAATCTGAGTGGATAAATGAACATGTCCCATTGAGAGTACAGACCGATCAACACGTCCTATTGAGAGTATGGACCAATCAACACGTCCTACTGAGAGTACGGACCAATGAACGTCCTATTGGATAGATCTGCATGTATAAATAATAACAACGGACCAATCAACATGTCCTATTGAGAGTATGGACCAATCAACACGTCCTACTGAGAGTACGGACCAATGAACGTCCTATTGGATAGATCTGCATGTATAAATAAAGACAACGGACCAATCAACATGTCCTATTGGAATACTTATTTAACATAAGTAATCCTTGATTTACAATTTACTCTCCAACCCTTGTTTGTAGCTGAATATATTTTAAACTAATACTGTAGATACTTAGTCCTGATGATAGTAACTGTGTTACTGAAACTGTTGTAGTAACACTAGTCCTGATGATGGTAACTGTGTTACTGAAACTGTTGTAGTAACACTAGTCCTGATGATGGTAACTGTGTTACTGAAACTGTTGTAGTAACACTAGTCCTGATGATGGTAACTGTTGTTACTACAACAGTTTCAGTAACCTAGTCCTATGATGGTAACTGTTGTTACTACAACAGTTTCAGTAACTTAACCCCGATTATAGTAACTGTGTTACTGAAACTGTTGTAGTAACATTAACCCTGATGATGGTAACTGTGTTACTGAAACTGTTGTAGTAACACTAGTCCCTATGATGGTAACTGTGTTACTGAAACTGTTGTAGTAACATTAACCCTGATTATAGGTAACTGTGTTACTGAAACTGTTGTAGTAACATTAACCCTGATGATGGTAACTCTGTTACTAAACTGTTGTAGTAACACTAGCACTGATGATGGTAACTGTGTCACTGAAACTGTTGTAGTAACATTAACCCTGATGATGGTAACTGTGTTGCTGAAACTAATCAGCAATAAATCTAATAAAGATTTTATTTTTAGTGTGCCTAAAAATTTTTGCTTTTTACTCTTAATATAGTAGCACAATGTGTCTGTAAAGAAATGATTATAATATATTAAATGATCATGTAATTTGGCTGAAGGGTAGAAACAACTTAAAATGTCACAGATGTCAGCATACTTTTAAAAAAGAAATAAATATGAAGAATAAATCAGGTTTACTACATGTTACAGCTAGAAGTAGTGCTCTTTATAGTTCCTTAGAGAGTAAAAACGTTCAGTAAATACTTGCATCTTTATATGACTTTACATAAAATTCTTAAACATTAAGTAAAAGCAAATTATTAACACTGGTCATAACTTATACTGTTGATTTTCTTACAAGATTAAAAATGTGCTGATAAATTTCTGTGTCAGATGCTATAGTTAATTTGCTGCTCTTTTCCCAGCATTACAGAGCAACAGGCTGAGTGTTAGAAAGTGTAACAGTCCTTAGAGCTGAATGTTTACTAAGAAGAGCCACTGAAAAAAAAAAAAACTTTTGGAACATTACAGCTACTTTTATTACTAAGTACAAAATGGCTGAAAACGATAGGAATGGTAGTGATGATATTTGTCGTGATTTTCTACGCAATGTGTGCAGACGCGGGTCAAACTGCAAATACAGGCACCCAGAACCGACAACAGAAACTGAGGAAAAAGGAAGCGAGGATATTAAATTCTGTCGTGATTTCCAAAATAGGGGCTGTCGACGAGCAAACTGTAAGTTCATGCATTGTACCAAGAGGGAAGAAGAATATTACCTGAGTACGGGAAAACTCCCGAGACTTGTACAGAATGCTTTGAGAGATGATAAAAGTGAGGTTCCAGTTTGCAAAGATTTTTTGAGGGGCTTTTGTAAACGAGGAATTTACTGTAAGTTCCGACACTTAACGCCTGGGGAATATAGTATGGAAATGTGTGGAGAGGGTGGGGCACCCATTATGGGGGAGCCTGACAATTTTGAATTTGAATTTCAGCCAAAACTTAAACGACCAGCCTTTGATGATGGTTTTGGACCAGTGGGATCAGGGGTGTTGTTGCCTACTCCTGGTCCTGATCGAATGTCTTCTTCCATGTCTGATGTGCATATATTGGAAGAGGAGAACATTATTCTCCGGAGTAAAGTAGAGGAACTGAAAAAACAAGTTACAGAATTAACCTCAACTGTTGAGTGCCTGCTAGAACAAAATGCACAGTTACGCGCAAACAAACTGTCATATCTTGAACCATCTCCTAATTTTCGCACTTCATTTCCAGATGGTGGGCAAACACAGTAACTTCTACACACGAAACCAACTTGACATATTGAATATGTTGTCATTTTCATCATGATGTTTTATAGCAAGTTGTGTGACTGCTACTGTTTCTACAGCCATTGATTTTTTAAATAAACTCGATCACCATTTGCATTAAATGCTTATTTCTGTTGTTTTCAGTTGATTTCTGTATTACAGTGTTTCTCTTTTATTAAACATTCAACATTTACTACCTTATCTTGACAGTTTGCTAACAAAAGGATGTTATATTTTAGTTGTTTCTGGTGAATAAAACTGATGTGTACATCTTTTTGTTATTGTGTTCTTAATTAGTATTACAGAAATATATGCAATTTGTCTGTGCTAGTACATTAGATTTTTATAAGCAAATAACAGACTCATGAGAAGTCAAGTTATGAAATCCACATAGTTGTGCACTAAACCTTTAAATTAGCACATAAATAAGTCATCAAGTTAATTTCAAATATAGATTTTAACTAAAGTGGAAAGTTATACAAATTCCTTTGACTGTTACTGATCTAGTAAATGTTTACATTAGTAACTTTGATCTTCATTTGTAAACACATTCATGTAGCTGTTACTGAATAGAGTATTTGGTCTATAACTTGTCTGTTTACTTGATGGACAGTCTGTGTTGTGACATTATTTCAAAAATAACAATTAATGCTTTTTTTGTGTATAGGTTCCATTTGTGTTATTAAATGTTCAAGTTTTATCCCTTTGTAAATGCAGCTGTATCACTGTCAATAAACTTTCTAATCCTGTTTCATTGTGTCGTTCCTTTTAAATAAACTTGAGTACAAAAGGATTAGGATTTAGAATTATTTACTGTAGGAAAGTCTCCTTATGAAATTTGATTGGAAACAGACAGTAATACAATAAATCATTTTAATGTAAATGCTTGGACTGTTTTGTTGTTGATGATGTTTTTTAGGGGTTGAGGGTAACATTAATGAATGACTCACTGACTACTTGCTAAAAGTTGCCTCAGTATTAAAATTCTATTAACTCTACCCCTAGTAACAGAACATTGCCTCAGTATTAAAATTCTATTAACTTTACCTCTAGTAACAGAACATTGCCTCAGTATTAAAATTCTATTAACTTTATCTCTAGTAACAGAACATTGCCTCAGTATTAAAATTCTATTAACTCTACCCCTAGTAACAGAACATTGCCTCAGTATTAAAATTCTATTAACTTTACCTCTAGTAACAGAACATTGCCTCAGTATTAAAATTCTATTAACTTTACCTCTAGTAACAGAACATTGCCTCAGTATTAAAATTCTATTAACTTTACCTCTAGTAACAGAACATTGT